TTTACGTGCAAAATTTGTTGCAGACTTCGCCCTCCCCAGAGAGGTGCTTTCAAAATTTAATCGCACACGTACTTTGTAATCACTTTGGTTAATTACTTGAATTTCTGATTTATGAAATAAATTGAATAAATGCCAAAGGTATACACCCCCTTAAATACAATCGTAGCAATTAAACTGAGCGCGCCAATATTTCTTCGATCCATTATAATTCCAGACCCTTTCAGAATTTTTATAGAACACTTGCAACTTCAAATATAACTTCTTTCTCCCCGTAGCAACTGAACTACACTCCTGAAGTTCGACCCACTTCGAAAACACGCCGTGTAATTATTAAGAAGCTTCTCCGGCACGGGAAAGAACAATACGGATGAGATAGAAAGCGAGTCCCTTGATGGATCAATGATTTCAGCCTCGCAATCTTTCTCTTCTACAAAGTACCCCACCGTTGCACCCTTTCCGTGTACCCAATACCATTAACATGTTTCATTTCACCCGACCCTTCGATGAACGTTTAAAAGAGAAGAGTTTGAACTCAGCCAACCTCGACTTACATCTTCGATCGGTTCCTCATTTTAGAAATACATTCTGGAAGTAGTAATTTTACTGTTAATTAGCGATAATGACGAAGGTATTAATCCTTGGAACACCAGAAGTATAATTTTGAAAAAATTCCTTATTTAACGAATGAAAACTGTGTATCCTTTCCTTTCGTTTTTCATCGCTTTTCCGCAACACAGATACCGTAATATGTACACGCGATTCCACGCTCGTTCGAACGTGTAATCGTACAATCGGCGGAACGCGTGACGGTGTTATTGTTGCACGCGCTCGCGGGTACTCTGTTTAAACACAGGCTCGGTTTGCGACTGATTACGCATTCGTGTGCGTGTGCGTCCACCTGTGGACCTCCCTCTTGTATTGTCGCCGTTCCCCTTGCACGTGCACCATTCGCACAATCGTGCGCGTGTTTGTGGATCATTATATATTCGAGATGTATACGCGAACACGAAGCCGACTCGTGCGACTGTTTACGTACAAGCGTGTTTGTGATCGTACGCGTGTGATTACCGAGTGTCGTGCATGTACAGCTACGATCGAACGTTTCCGTGATTGGTCGAACGTGTTAATATGTATTGGGATTCGTATTCGTAAGTGTTCGGGGTAGATTGAAGGAGGGATGTATTAGGTAAATTTTCGTCGTGTCAGATTTTCGAAGTTTCCGAATCCCTCACTTAACCCTTTCGCTGCCACGCAAATTTTTGAACTTGCTCCAGTGGGCTAGAATACAAATAAAAATTTTATAATGGCAATAACTGCGAAATATATTAAAATAACGGTACAATCTTGCCAATAGCACATTTTTCTTAGTGGCACAAATGAAAGGACAAGCGCCAGCCCCATGGGATCACCGTGACAGCGAAAGGGTTAACACTATCTACCAGGAGGTTATTAATAAGTTTTCTGACAGTATCGGCTGCTGAAGAAAAAGTAATTAATAACCTTTTGATTATTACAAATTCATGTATAAGTCAGTTGAAATAATGATAATTAGATGTACTTTAATTAAGAAGAAATTGAAAAGAAAGGTTACACCTTTTAGTCTTTAATTAATGTTAATTATACGGTGGTCGTTTGTATCTATTTTATTTATGGCCGGTGGGTAATGCGTTAATATGACAAATTAATAATGAACATTTTTGAATGTACTTTTTTACGGTATTAATCTTCAACTGCACCTGTGTCCTCTGCAATGCAAATTTTATTTTGCGTTCTGCAGTATCGAATTAATGTAACAAAAGGGTCACTTGTTTGGTGTTTTTATACGAGGACAGCGAGTTAAAGTGGATTAAAATAATTAAAGTAAAGCGACTCTGTACTTTTATACGTTATTTAACTGACACTTTTTGATACTAGGTATGTACATATTACATTCGTATGCAAATTGCAAATGTTGTATTGCAACTTCTATAGTGAATTATCATTCGTGGACACTTTATTACTCGACAAAACTTAATATTTTATTTTTATTCTGTTATTCGAGGGGACGTGGTAATAACACATCTAGTTTTTCATTCTCTGCAATCAAGCGCCAAAGGTATAATTTAAGGACTTTCAATGAATAAGGAAAATTATGGTAAAGTAGGTGCAAGTGTTTTCGTTGTAATTGTACCTGTTACATTTCATTAACGAGTACATATTAAGAAACATGTCGATAACACGCTACGGGAAAACTAGTTGCATAATGTATTTATGAGTTGCAATAACAACGGGTCAAGGAAAACAGAAAGTGTTAATTATCTGACAACGTTGAGGAAATTCTGTTTTTATTCATGTTCAGTGTTATGAATAAAAAGCGTAGAAAATTTCCTAACAGAAAACAGAGAGAGAAACAATGCGAGCCGTGTGGTTCTGGAGAAGGGATGAAGATTTTTATCATACGTGTTACCGGAGTGTTGAAAACGAAAATAGAACGAATAAAGGATCCATGAATTTGATTCTTAAACGGGTTAAAATTTCCTCGGAACGTGCTCGAGGTGGCGGGGCGATTGCAATCGAGGTGAATATAGAAAAGGTTCGATAGGCGAGTGTAAATCGCGAAGTTGCAGCGACGAAAGCTTGCCGAATGGAATTCCTCGCAGGAATTCCATTTTACACAGCAGTTGCCGCGAGCCAGATGATTCGATTTCGTTCGAGACGATTCATTCTGTCGTCTATTCGAACAAATAATTTTCTACGTTCGCCAGCAACCTATCACCGCATCAAAGATCGCAACTTGTCTTCGAAGCGTGCCACATTGCAAACGTACAACTCATCCTGATCACCAAGGAATCTATCATTTTTACAACGACAGTAATTCTTTCAAATTTATTCAATTTATATGCAAAGCAGACTCGTGAAATTTCCCTGTTTCCAGTGCGCTCTTTCACTGTCTTTCGCATCGGGCGGGCAACAAATAACGCGAGGATGCGTGCACCTCGCAAAAACAATTCTTTCGTTAATTTATTAGCCGTAGATCACTGTCAACGGGCGCTGTTTCGGCTTTTCACGGGAGCCAGGACAATTTCGAGGATCGACGCGGTTTCTGGCGGTGACACTACCGGGGGAGCGGCACGCGACGTCCGCAGGAGATCGATCGTTAAGGCCAACGCGTTTCGGACGATTGACCGTGCAAACGAACCACTTCCTTTTCCGGATCGTGTCTACCACCTCTGGCACACGGAATGGTCGGACCGAAAGAGAGGAAGCATCCTTCGAAGGCGTCCAAATGTATGGTCGAAGGGTCTGCGACTCGCGGTTTCCGTTTCTTTAAATTGCGTTAAGGCACTTTATTAGCCAACCCGTATCTAAGATTGAAAATCGTGAGAAGGGGGCTATAGCATTTAGACTTTCTGTCACTTTTGTACAGGCCAATCGGTAAGAGTTATCGAAAAAATTCTTGCGCCATTGTGTTTAGTGAGTGAAAATTTCAACTTCCGGTCTGACCGGAAGTGGCCGAAAAAGGGTTGGCTCTAGAGCAGTGTTTCCCAACCTCTTTTGTGCCATTCCCCACCTAAGCCTTTCTAAAATTCTTATGTCCCTATGTAACATATACAATTTCTTAGAGCAATAAATAATATTAATTTAAAATTTAAAATTTCTTTTTAGTTAAGTTTTTAATGTACATAATTTTTAATATTCAAAAATTGGATTGTTCACCGAAGAAACTTAAACGATAGGTTTTAGGAAGAAATCACTAGCAAATTGTTGAGGAAACACGGTAAGTAAATTTTCAAAACATATAGGTAATGGAGAACTGAAATTCAAGTACGAAATAATTTTAATGAAAGATTTTTCTATATTATTTTAATTATTACTGAGAGTCGCCATACGGTTAACTTAAACTCTGGACGAGTCCATTTTCGAATTGCCCCCATTAACAATCAAATTGCCCCCCTGTGGGGCGTGGGCTCCACGTTGGGAAACACTGCTCTAGAGCGAATCTCGAAAAGGTTTTGCTTGTAAAATCACTGCAAAAATTTGCAAATTTCTTGACGATTTTTATACATCGTATCGGTGCTCGAGTTGCACGTTACGCGATAAAAATTCCCGAAGAAACGGGGACGAACGGGTAGAGCACTGTTACTGGGTAGCTCGTCGCCGAATCAAGAGTAAAACTTCAAAGAGCTCGACTCTTGTCGCAGGTAAAGACACGTCGTCGGACTTGATAGCCTCCTCGAGCTTACCCACGGCTCCGTCTGTTGACCTTATTCCGGGTCACATTCGTAGCGGAGCTTTCGAAAAGCGCGACTCCGTCTGCGACGGTGTCGCGGAGATCCGCACAATGACACAGAAGTAGCAGCAGCCAGCCTCTTCTTCGCGCTCGCGAAACGTGAAGCACATCCACTCGTGACACCTCTTCGCGTTGTGTAAGGTCGAGATGAAGAAAGCTGGAGCTAGCAGACGGCTGGCAAGCACAGCTAGCGAACGTCAAACGAACGTAAGAATACGTCTCTTTGGCAAAAGAAGCTCGACTAGCGTTCCCGTCTACTGAACGACTCGTAGTTACGACGGCTCGTTCGTCGAAATAGAATTTTCCGGCTGTCGGCTCGTCGCGACGTTCCGCGTCGAGTCATTCCAGGGTAAAGATTCATTTTAACCAGAGTCTAACGTCTCGACGACTGAATCTCTTATCGACCCAACCTGCCTCCTCGAGCGCCCACCGTAAAATGGACGAGTTAACGAACTTTAAAAGTATATCGCCTAATGTGTGCGTTGTTAATTGAGTTCTTGAGGGTCGTTTGATGTTTGCGTTCTTAATGATCGTCCCGTTTCCGGCAGTCCATCCGAACCTACCTTGGGAGATCCAATCTCGCGTCTTAAGCTTGCAATCACTTCCTTTTGAAACAAGAGTACGATGAGAAAGGTAAATTGATGGTGGTTTTGTGTGCACACGTTTCGACGTTACTTTAAGAAAAATCTCCGAATAATGATGATAATTATTTCTTTTTTCTTTGTTACAGAGAGACGCGCTCAACTTGGAGCCTAGCAACGTGGCCAATTGTGTGTCCAAAGGGAAATCAGAGGTAAAGTGCATTTTTATTTTTTTCTAGTGTTAATTTGCTCTACCAAGATAGCGTTTGATTTCTCTCCTTTCTATCGTATTCTCAAAGATACCGAGAGACTAGTTAAGGCATACTCTATACACGCCTCTTATCGCAGCTTCATTCGTATTCATCGCGTACGCTTTGTCGAGGTGTAAAGTCCACGCAAATATTCCCTACGTGACGATAAAACCAATTTATTTTCTGCCCGACGATTCGCCGCGAAATACGCGCCGCGACGTGATCGACCGCGCGACACACCAACCCTTTTTCTCTCGATCTCGTTCTATATAATTTTCGGGAAAAATCCCTATCCACGCGCGTCGAACTCTCTTGTCCTCGCGTTTCCCCACGCTACTTCTTTCGCACGTATCTGTTGAAAATTCAATTTTCTTCCCCTTCTCTTCGCAGCACTTCGATTGTCGGAATCACATAAGGGTGATCCAGCCGATGGGGGATGGCAATCGACTCTACATGTGCGGCACGAACGCTCACTCGCCCAAGGATTGGGTGATTTATGTAAGTATCTCCGTGTTTGCTCTTCATTTCGATCGTTTGTTTCGTCAATCTTATTGTTAGTGTTAAACCCCGGATGGCAAGAATTTGGTATTTTCAATGGAGAAAATTTTGAAACCTACATTGGAAACGAACTTTTGGGACTGGTTTCATTATTAGACAAATTAATTTAGTGCCTTTAATGTTACACCCTTCTAATTACTATGTGGCAGCGATAATCTGCCGTCACGTCCCTGCGTAGGTAATAAGGTTGTGAGTGAGGAGTGTGTGATTGCGGGATGTTTGTGCGAGCGAGATTGAATCCGTACGATTGCAGCGTGGTTGTTGAGAGAATCGGTTCGAGTGTCGTGTAGAGTGTGGTCTGGTTCCGAGAATGACTGAGAGATGTGTGACTCTGTCGATGGACGTTTGTTTAGAGCGAAAGGAACCGGAAAGAAAGAAGAAAGAATAATTGGAAGAAAAAGTCAGCGTGTGAAAGGGTTGAAACGTTTATTTCTTTTTTGAAAACGAGTGTAAGATTTCCTCCACGTATCTCAAGGAGTGGTTCGCGTTCGCGAAGACAGAAGGAACGGTGAAGTCAGTAACGAGACGTTAATTAGCGGTGTAACAAAATATCGATTTATTCAAAATCAGGTATTGGAAAATGTTGCTACAGAGCCTATCACAGAATAGTGGAAGCACCGCAGATATTATTGCAATTTGTGCGTTTAACAATCAACGGAACGTAATTCACCTCTACTAGATACTCGGCCATCCGGCCATCCTCCCACACCTTCACCACAACTGTTTTAAATCTGAATATTTTCTCGCGCTTCTATATACCTATTTGACAAGTGACGGGAGAATATAATAACAATAAGAATTATTTCAATAATTGGAGTTACCATGAGACTTAAAAAGAAATTTTCAATCAAAAATGAAAAAGAGCACAGAATTAATTTGTACATCTAATAAATATTTATAAATTAAAATGAAAAATGATTTTGTACACATTTAAGAATGCTTATATCATAAATTCAGATTTTAATCATATTTACATAAGCCATCAAGCGGGGTTGAAAAATGCTTAAGTATCAAAGTATGAAATGTTTCGTATTCTTATTCATTACTATGTAATTTAGTTGTTAATTCGTCCCACGAAATCTGTCGCTAACAGAGCACCGTAACAACGGCGTAAGAGTTACGCAGCGCGTTAAATGAATCGCGAGTTCAAGTACCCGTGTAATGAAGTCAAAGAATATATTGGTCTCGCTTTGTCGAAGATTACGACTCCCGTGCGTGTAATAGAGTCCTCTGCAGTAACGTGTAACTTTTGCGTGGAAACGCGTTACTTTGGTTCCGAATTTTCGAAGCCCGTAACGCGTTGAATCAATGTTGAAATACGATGAATTTTAAACAAACATTAAACAGACGTAACTGTTGGCGAAATTTCAAGTGATTTTACTGAAAGTCACAAATGGCACACAGCAATGTAAAGCGAAATAAACAGATGTAAATTGTTTCGTGTACGGGTGTTTACGTAACTGGACTGTATCTTCTTTTTTTTTTTAACAGAGCAATTTGACCCACTTACCCCGTCACGAGTTCGTCCCCGGCGTTGGAATGGGCATAGCAAAGTGCCCTTACGATCCAGCGGACAATTCGACAGCGGTCTGGGTGGAAAAGGGCAATCCTGGGGACCTGCCAGCTCTCTATTCCGGCACCAATGCCGAATTCACGAAAGCCGATACCGTAATCTTTCGTACGGACCTCTACAATTTAACCACCGGTCGCAAGGCCTTCAGCTTTAAGAGGACGTTGAAGTACGACTCGAAATGGCTGGACAGTAAGTACTCTTCTGCTCGGCAATTTCTCCTTCTTCCCCGTCTTCTTTTTGATCTTAAACGGGGCAATATCCATGGAATTAGTACTCTCTCTGCTTACGGAACTTTTCTGCGCGAACCCTAACGAGAAACGAAATTGTCGTAATAACGCATTAAATTCGAAACCTTTGCAATTCGAGATTTAAAAGTATCTATTTCAAAGGAAGAAGGAACTTCCATTTTTCTCTATTGAATCTGCCTATTGACGACTTTTCTTTCTAGCTCAATTATCCTAATTAACGTTAAGAAACATTCGAGGAAAATGATAATCATTACAGGCAGGGCCCGCCCTGAGATTTCGAAGGTCCGAGGCGGGCCCCTTCATATATACGACATAAAAAAAAGTACCTCAAATAAAATTTATAAAATTAACATTAAAACTTGTATAACTAATTTAGATTTGAATTTAGATCGATTAATATTCAAGTAAACATTACTCTTCTTGCATCCTTAGGTCCAGGGACGGCCCTGATTACAGAATACGTAGTATAATTCAGACCCCGTGGCAAGTAGTATAAGTCAGTATATGGTCAGACGGGCTCCGATTAGAAGGCAAGATACTATAAAATCACAAATTATAAGTGTATAAACAGTTTTAATCAGAAAATTAAACAATGCCTAATAATTCAAAGTGAAGCTCGCATACTGTCGTAAGTAGTATAGGTCGGCGTATGGTCAGACGAGTAGTATAAATTGCGAGGAAACGGTACAGGAACGCATTTAAAACGGATTATTGATTGATTTTCTTTAATAAAGGTTAATTAATTTTAAGTCTTACCAAGGTACTCGGAAAAGGTAAGAATTTTTTACAGCTTGCTTCATTACGAAAGAAACTTTCATTAAACTTCGAAGACGGCCTTTTCCTAGAAATGCGTGAAGGATTGCAATTGGAAAAAAGAGCCTTCTCGTTACAAAACGAGATACTTTGAAGTCTCGGATGTCGAAGAAATGGGTACCGTGCTTAAATAGTTACATAAAAAGCCGTCGATACGGTGTTGGTTGTTCCGGGAAAGGAGCGAGGGGCTGACAGCTTCGTCTTTGAACGCTGTAAGGGTTTTCACGGAAAACCGTGTAAAGAAAATTGCCGTGGTGTATGTACGCGCGCGAGAGGGTTTGAGATAGAAAACTGTTCGAAGGGTAACACGACGTGGGTTGGTATATGATCAGACTTTACAAAAGGGGTTGCAGTTCTGAGAAGCAGGGTAGTAATAAAATAACACCTTTCCACGATTTTCCTTTCGCTAAATGTTCCTGCATGGCGAACTTTTGGTACAAAGAAAACATGGAAGTCTTTCGGCTCGCTGTAGAAACTCCCCCTTTCTTCAAGAATCGATTTTTAATCAGTTTTGGCGATCGAACGAGGGATGGAAAGGGGCTGGGATTATTGTTCGCAGCTCGATTTTTCGTTAGCCTGCAAAACATCGATTGGAATTCGAGAGGGAAGAAATTGGAAAATGTAGATTAGAACGTGTTCTGGATGCCGAATCGTGGAACACGGTAATCGGATCGAAACGGGGCGGAGAAGCTATGGTTTGTTTGGGTTACGACCGGTCGTGATTGCGTTTTATAGCTTTATAGTTCCGTAGCGATAGTAATATTTCTGGAAATAATTGTTTCATCGCGCGGCTAACAATTACTATCGAAGAAAATAAAAAAAGAAAGTAAATAATGATTAAAATTCAGTAGTTCAAGGCTGGATTTTAAAATATGATATCAATATTTTTCTCCAATGCACGGTTTGATATTCGAGAGAAAGCGAAAGCTGATTTTTCCTTCAGCCCGCGAGGAATAATTCATTCGTGCGGTCGTTCGCGAAACAATTTCATTTGCGCCGCGTGCTACGAGCGTTCTTTACGGTTAATTGGGAAGGCGGGATCATAAATCCCCGGCAAAGTTATCAATTAATTTCAACTCGGTCCCGTGTATCTCGTCTACCGTATTTCTCTTGCGGCGACGCGCGAGCCTCGCGAAATAATAGCGGCGCGAACTAGTTGCCTTATATTTCTCAGGAGGGTGCTGCTCTCCGTCCTCGAATCGTGCCGTCATTCGACCTCGCTTCGACCCGTTCCCTTATAGCCCGTCGTTGACTCGCGTGGAGGGTAGTCAGAACGAAAGGAGCGAAACGAGGTGAAGGAGAAGCCAACCACTCCCAAGCCCACTTTGTATCTTTCCAATTCCTCCCTCCTGCGCCCTGCGTTCGCCATCCACCCTCTCGTGGGATGCATGATTAGCCGTTTGTTTCGTCGTTTAATTTGAAGGCGGTACCCTTTCACCCTCGCCCGAGCGCGCTTCTCCTGCCCCTTCGCCTTCGTTTTCGATGCCGGGACGTTACCATCAACGGCCATACGCCGCATCGAGTTTGTCTATTAACAGAGGCGTTGATTAAATGCTGGAGGAACCCAGAAGAGACGGATAGGTTCACGTGCTACTCGTAATCCTGCTTGCTCCTACCCTCTATATCCTCTTTCTACCACCCTCTATCATTCTCTCTCTTCTTTTCTCTTCGCGAAGCAACGTTCCGGGTAAAGTATCTAGAATGAAGATGGATGCGATTTGCGGGCGCGAGCGAGAAATAAAGGATCACGACGAACGAGAGCGTAACACTGAGTAGATAGAGGAAAAAGAAGAGGTCGGTGGATGGGGCTTAACAAGCTCTGAATAACCGACCAACGACCGTCCACTTTCTCGGATCGTTGCCCGTGTCAAATGACGTCCTGACGTTCCTCGGTCATTTGTTTCCTTCCACGGGACGCTTTCATATTTCATTGTGCGCGCAGAGATTCTTGGCTCGCGTACATTCGAAACCGAAGACACTAGGAATTCGGGAGAATTAATTGTTCACTTGTTAGAGATTGCTTAACGTACTGTCGCGATGCAAATTACCTATGGTAATAGCTATTAGGCGTAGAGACCATTTGGAGCTTCTGACGATAAATTAATTGCCATGGCAAAATGAATGAAACAAGAAGCGAGAGACTTAAGGAAAGTATTGAATTAGTCATCTATGTTTCCTACAACATTCCGATTGATTTGAAACGAGCAATGTAAAAGCATGGAAGCAATTCTTGTGACATTACCAAATAAACGTGTCAAACTCCAAGTACTACAGTACAAGGAGAACTTTTCCAAAAGTTCCAGGACGGTAATTCGTAAATACTGTCGAGACAACGGCCGTGGGGAGAACTTCGAAAGCGAATATTAACCAGTCTCTCGTAATTTGGCGTATTTATTAACGAAGTGTCGTCTCTAATAGCGAACGCGGACGCGAGGGAGTCGCGGAAAATAGAATTTCGTATTTATACTCGGGAACTAAGTTGAAACACGTCTCGCAGCCCTCCGTGGCACTTGTAAACTTTATGAAACTAGCCTCACGGGTGATTTCATTATTCCTATTGCGCGAAATCGAGAGTACCGCGAGAATGTTTTCCTCTCTGTTTTAATAGTAGCGTGTTTCATGCCGACAAGAGGCATCCAATCAAAACTCATCGGTCGAGCCGTGTTTCTCTCGAATCGAGACATTTCCTTTTCCTGCCACCCTTTGTTTCCTACCCCTCTGCGTATCCCAGCGCGTCTGCCTTTCTCCTCTTTCGCCATCGCGCCTCAATATATCAAACTTCCACCGGCGAAGCGTCAGACAATCGATTTAATCGGTGAACTGTGAAAGAGATTGCAACCTCCTGCCCCACGCCTCCGCATAATGTAAAATCGACACTCTCTCTACCCGTCCTCGCCAGTTAAAAACGTTCGATTTCTGTCTGGCACAAATTGCTCTCTCATTTTCCGCTTCTATTAAGATTAATAGAATTATTCGATCGTATGAAATTTCAGTTGACCGTCGCTGGCGACTTCGCTAAGCCAATCGACGAGTTAACTGTCGTTTAACGTTTATACTATGAAAAGTCGTAAAAGTGGCAAGAAAAACTTGGACGATTTTTCCGGAGCCAAATGAGAGGTAGAAAAGCGGTTTTACTTCCACCTAATATAAAACTTGCTTCTTCGCGTCGTAATTTGAGGTTCTTCGAACGTCTGTTTTATAGTTTACTATTCCGCGTAATTTCTCTGCATTTAACAACTTCCGGTTATCCAGAAGATACGAATTCGTCGTTTCTTGAATCGCGCAGTATAATTATACAAATTTCGATAATATCTTGCATTAATTGTTACCGTCTTTTAAACTTGTTTCAGAACCAAATTTCGTGGGATCTTACGATATCGGGAGTCACGTGTTCTTTTTCTTCCGCGAGACAGCAGTGGAATACATAAATTGCGGCAAAAGTGTGTATTCCCGTGTGGCGAGAGTTTGCAAACGGGATACCGGTGGCAAGAACATTCTGTCGCAGAATTGGTCGACTTACCTGAAGGCCAGGTTGAATTGTTCGATCCCTGGTGAATTTCCGTTCTATTTCAACGAAATACGTGAGTATAATTGAAAGTTTAACCTTCAAATTTATTACTAGACTTCCTACATTTCAAAATCCGCCACTTGACCAACTTATCGATATTCCCGAAAAATTAATTAGTCACTTAAGGACACTTTCCAAAAATTAGTCGATCACTTAACGAGCACCTAAAAAGAATCTTCACCTTTAACGTAATGAGCATCCTGATTTATTATTGATATTTTTGTAAAATAATTACAGGGGATAATTGTTGTTCGAATTGAAATTTTTCCAGAGAGTATTTACAAAGTACCCGGCGACGATACTCACTTCTATGGCACCTTCACCACTTCGACGAACGGTCTGATGGGTTCAGCGATCTGTTCGTTCCATATCGACGCGATTCAAGAGGCGTTCCGTGGAAAATTCAAAGAGCAGGCGACGAGTAGTAGCGCCTGGCTCCCTGTGTTATCCAACAAAGTTCCTGACCCGCGACCCGGACAATGCGTGAACGACACTGAAACCTTCCCAGACACTGTGTTGAACTTTATCCGATCTCATCCTCTGATGGACTCAGCGATCTCGCACGAGAACGAGAAACCAGTGTTTTACAAACGGGACGTGATGCTCACGCGATTGGTCGTGGACAAACTGCGAATCGATTTTGTGGGCGCCGATCTGGATTACACCGTCTACTATGCTGGATCCAGTAAGTAGTTGTTTCGTTAATATCGTCTTGGAAGTTTAATTGATTAGCAAATTCATTTTGAAAATTCTAATTTGCATTTACATTGCACGTTTCATTTACTTTCTCTTTTTTCATAGTAATTTGTTAAACAAAAATGTCGACAATATTCTACTATAATACGAATTTAATTGAATACCAGTGCATATGTTGGAACATACAACGTGTTTTGCACTGATGTACATTGCACAATTTGTCACATAGAAACTTGGATAAGATAATCTCAAGAGAACTCGGAACTTCTTGCAGTTAACTCGTACAATGTGCTATTGCTATTGCTAGTTTCATTCCAGAGCCGTCGAATTGTTATTACTGCAAAACTGACGCACAATCAGAGATCGTACTAAACAGAAATAACAAAAAACACGTTTATGATTCAATCTTGCCTTCTTGTTTTCTATAGTCGATCAATTTATAGTGTAATATCTTTAATTATTAATTAAAATATACTATCGTGTAGGAGGCTGTTTAGCGGAGTTAATAAATGTGTAGGAGCGTTAATTGTATCACCGATTTATTATTTGCTCTATTCGGCATAGCCGTCGTCAGGGAACTGAACTCTCAAACTTTACCCGGCGTCACGGGAAGCAAGATGTAAACAAACATACGTCTAACATATATACAATACATATACACATACAGCCAACTTAGAATATCGCTTGCCTACAATTGTTATTTACAATCTTCTCTCAAATTTCTCAACTAAATATCAACGGTTTTATGTGGTACACCCTAACTTGAACGATGATGTAAATTTGATAGCACTTTAGCTGCCCATGGTGTTAGTTTGCTCAGGCATTATTCTCTTGTGTTTCAGGTGACGGACGGGTACACAAAGTTGTTCAGTGGATAGACAACAATGGGGAGTCACACTCTATTCTGTTGGACGTTTTTGACGTGACCCCAGGCGAGCCGATTCAGGCGATGGAGATCTCGAAGGAGCACAAGGCTCTTTACGTCGCGTCTGATCATCGAATAAAACAAATCGACCTGGTGATGTGCACCCGCAGATACGATAACTGTCTACGTTGCGTTCATGATCCTTACTGCGGCTGGGATAAAGACACCAACACCTGCAAACCTTACGAACCCGGGTACGTGCATGATCATTAAGGACATCATTGATTCGTTTTTTAATTGAAGCTTCTAGATTGGCATTTTTTTTAAATTAATTATTCGATTATACAAAATTCGAAGTGTCAATTTCTGGTGGCAATCAGTGTTCTAAATATAATGATTATTTAGTACTTGAGTACTTATCTAATTCTTAAGGAATGAAAATGATAGAAGAGTTTGAAATTTTTAGTAATATTTTTTCTACGGTAAAACACATATCTACATTATAAGGTACAACGTCGAAAATATTTCTTTAATTAATTTAATCGTGTTTATTCTGGTTCGCAGCCTTCTTCAAGACGTATCGAATAACACGGCTGACGTTTGCGACAGCAGTGTAGGTAAGAGGAAGCTAGTAGTCACCTGGGGCCAGTCGGTGCATTTGGGTTGCTTCGTGAAGATGCCGGAAGTACTGGCAAATCAGGAAGTCAGATGGTACCACTACAGTAAGGAGAAAGGCAGGTATCAGATAGCTTACAAGTACGGAGCCGGAGGGGACAAATTCATCGAGACGTCCGAGAAGGGCCTGGTGATCGTGGGTGTGAACGAACAAGATGCCGGTAGATACGATTGTTGGCTCGGTGGTTCTCTCCTTTGCTCGTACAACATCACCGTGGACGCGCACAGATGTTCCGCACCCGCCAAATCCAACGATTACCAGAAGATCTACTCGGATTGGTGCCACGAATTCGAGAAATACAAGTCTGCCATGAAGAGCTGGGAAAGAAAACAAGCGGTGAGTCGATGAAAACATTTCTATTTAATGCTTTTGTAATATTTTTCAAATTCACTTTTGCAATTTTTAATTTCTTGTTATGTACCTAACAGTAGATTCATAATTTTACAATTTTTAATTTCTTTTTGTATACCTAACAGTAGATTCATAATTTTACAATTATTAATTTCATTTTACATACCTAACAGTAGATTCATAATTTTACAATTTTTAATTTCTTTTTGTATACCTAACAGAAGATTCATAATTTTACAATTTTTAATTTCTTTTTATACACTTAACAGTAGATTCATAATTTTGCAAATTATAATTGGTATCTGGTAGAGTGGATAAAAATAGGATGGAGAATAACACCGATCACTCGAAAGCTGAAAAAGGGGATAGGAATTGCTGAAAGATCCCCGTTCCTTCTTTCTGTTCCAGCAATGCGCCTCGAGGCAGAACGACAGCAATCAAAATCTGCACGCGAACGAGGTGTACGGTACTCCTCTGGTCTGATGGAGTCGTTCGTTGGAGCCGTCGTCGAGCCGAGACCCCGACACGATGCCACATGCGAGCGTCCTGCCGAAGAATCGCGGTCCATCCACGATCAGTTGGACGAGCCTCACTCTCCTTCTGACCGGTTACACCACTGCCTTTGTCCTTCTTGCTGCCGGCGAGTTCTCGCTCGATTGAGATCCACGTCCGTACCAAGAACCGGCAAACCGAACGTCCAAAAACGCGATCGGTCGTTCGGTCGACTCGATCGTTCGAACCAGCTTCGTCCTGATTGGTCTGATCTTCGCCTGGAACGGTGCTCTTTCAAGGCAGTATCGGAGATCGAAAAGACGATCCGATCAGTGGAACGGGAGCGTCGCGATGCGCGGTATTCGTCGCACACGATCGCCATCAAACGACTGCCATTATTATCATTCGCATATATTCAACTTGCCGGAGCGCGAGGATTAATTAAACCTAGTGTCCGTTTTCATTTGTCGACTCTCACGAACACTGTCCACCCTTGTAAATACAAGCACACGACGCTGTCAGAGGATGCCGAGCGGAGAATGAGGAGGATCGATGGCGATTGGCAGCGACGGCGGGCATTTGCCATGTGGGAAAAGTGCGCTTAAACGCGACAGGAAGGGCAAAACTGTGCGGACGGTCGGCGATACGGTTCCTATCCTTTCGTTTCTCGTAGCTGGGAGCAAGGATCCAGACCCCAGACCGTTCTTCGGCAGAATGAAACGACGACGAGCGTGTGCTGCTCGTCGATGATCGAAACGCGGCTCGAATCGAGGCGTCCGTCCGCGAAGCAACCCGTTAGAAACCGGAAATCAATCCTCCTGTTTCCTTAGATCTGTGATACGAACGAGACGAAGCGATCCATCGAGTGGCGAGGTTGCACGGTAACGCGATAACGGAGACGAGACGAAAGAGAAGATTAGGTATTGTGTACGGACGAGCATCAGCGTAGTTTTAACGAGCCAGAATACGAGTCACGCCTGGAACACTGTGCTCGTCTCTATGTGTATATCGATTATCGCTGTCGAAGAGATAGAGAGGAGAGGAGAATGATAGAAAGGAGAGAATGAAACACGCCACGTCGACGCGTTTTCGAACGTCACGCAGGTTACACATGAGATTATTTCACGGCTATTTAGAATCGCAAACTTTAGATTCTTAACTGTTTTTTTTTCTATCATCAATCATCGATTTCGCGATGTGCACCGTTGCTTGTCTTCGATTCCCATGAATAATTCGCGTTCAACCGTCTACCCACTGCATTTATCTTTCTTTTTGTTCTTCTGTTTCTTAGACCATCGATCGATGCTTCTATTCCTTGTCTCGTAGGTTAACGTGTCGAGACTCTTTTACAGCAATTCGTTTGCAATCGAACGTCTTTAAACCGAGTCGCAATTTGGAGTTTTCACGATCTTTGAAATCAATGCTATGATTAAGATTTCTTAGATTAATATTTTTAGAAATGAAGATTTCACCAAAGCAACTATATGGAGAATGGAAACTTTTACATACCCTTAATGATAGTTAGATTTCTAAAATGAAATCGATACACGAAAAATTCGGATTTCAATTTTATTTTTCATTTACATTTGGAATTCGATACACGGTTCGGTTTAAAGGTGTTTTCATGTGTTTGGCTGTGATGGAGCTCGTGTTTACGGACATCCTAGACATCCCACGATACCGCCGTTATCATTATCAACGTCGAGAATTTTGAAGGTGCTACACAGGTGTGTGCTAAAAATCGGTAAGGCCTGTCAATTGTAAAACCTACTTTACTCTCAGATTAAACTTAGACAGAATTCAGTTAAGACATACCTACGTACGCAAGTATGTACCATACGAATCCATCCTCGCCAGATGCACATTCGGGCGGGAAACCCTTTCATATATACCTCGGAGCCTAGATTAGATTAACTCCTGGTTTGCTCATGAATTTTCGCCAGATCGGATCGGGTCTCGATCCAGCGAAATCGTGGAGCAAACTAACATGAATCGCGGATCAATCGGACAGACGATCGATTAGAGACAATTTCAATATCGACGAGCATCGTCAAGAATTTATAGTCGTGACACGGATATAGAGGGTCATTTAAAAAAAAAGGGTTTAAAACTTAGGATTTGTAGTATTTACTAATAGGGTAGTGAATAATTTAATTTTTATATTTTACAATTTTAACGATATTAATGATAATATTTTTAATCAATCATTTTATTTCTATTACATTTACTATTTTACAAAAAGAATGATTTACGATATTGACCTTAGAATTTATATTAATTAAATTTGCTTATATTAACTTATAAACTTAATTATATTAATTAAAGTTGAAATTAAACTTTCATCCCTTTCTGTAAGTACTTCAATCCACGAAGTCTTCGACCCTTTTTTCAAACACCCTGTACAATTCTGAGCAGCGTATAGCTCGACAAAACAAATATCGTCTAACATACACGTTTTTCTTCGATCAAGAATGTTATTGTCTTGTTCAGACGTTTACTCTAAGTTTCACCGTAACGCGACTAGTGTCGGCGTTCCCTGTGTTTCGTTTCACTTCCGGTTCGGGAACGTCTGCGTGTACATAGGATGGTCATAGTGCATGGTATTTTTATAAAAAATTCTCTCTTCGGAATGACGCAACCATAGATGCGAGGAATATAATGTTCCTTGCTCTCCGTGACTGCTTTTCTTTCTCATCTTTCTTTTAGTCTTTTATAATCTATCGTATACGCATAGAATTAGTTTTATTTTTACTCGTAACGTAGAAGATCGGTGATCACGATTGCTTCTACCAACGGAAATGGATGCTTACCGGTGCTGTATTAAACAATCCGTGGAACGGTCGCTGTTTCCTGAAGACCCAGTTCTCGTCGTCGTTGATATTATAAATACCAGTATAGAATATTAAACCCTAGAATCGTTAGAGGGATCGCGATACATTTCAAACAGATTGATCTTAAGTTTATTCTTCGATGGCGGGGAACGACGATCAGAACGAACAGGCGACGATATGATATGAAAAGAAGAAGTTTAATAAAAACGCCGTGTCGGTGATAGTTTTGCTCTTGCCCCTTAGTTTTGTACATAAACGAATGTTCGTATTGTTGAGACGTTCGCGACGCGACCGTTCGTGGCCCGTGAGATTATTTTCCTCTGTCGCGAATAGGATCGCGCGATATAAACAGCAAAACCGGATGTCCGGAAGTCGCTCTCTCCCGGGCCGATCGAGGTAGACTCGAGGCGCGCGAACTATTAGTTATTCTTGTACAGAGATTCGGAACGCCGCGCTCGACGATTTTCTGTTCTGTATCTATCGCGTCGCCGGCATATAAAAAGAAAAAAATAATACATAATACAGTCGATTAGTAAGAGATTAATCGTACGAATGTGAGATAGTAATTAAGAACGAGTGGACGAAATGAAAATAAAAGGAAGACGGGGATTCGCATCGTTTCTTAATTTTCTGTTTTGTATAAACATGAATTATTAATTACAGTCTATAACCACGTAAGTAATCTCTTCCCAATAATAATATTTATTTGCGTATATCAGATTTCTACATCACTTTATTAAAAATATATAGTATCGTGTATCGTTTTCATTTTATTATTTAATTGATTCATTTCTATACGAAACAGTTAATTAACAAAATGATGCGGTGTTCGAATATTAATGTAACTGTACGTGTAAATGAAAGCAGAAAGCGAGACCATAGGTGTGTAAGATTAATTACAGTAATCGGTAACTTAATCCTCAAGTATGTACTTATTATGAGCTTCAAAACAAGTATTGAATAGTATTATGTCGTAAGGTTAAGGATTTAATTTTTGAGTAATAAGGACATGGGGGGGGGGGGGGGGGGCATACCGGGATTACCTTAGAATATACGCATTCCGTTCAAGCGGATCGACGTGAATCGTAATTAAAATATCACCATCGAATTCGTCGAAGAATTTTTCTTCTTCGAGTCGTCGGGTTAAATTTGTCGATGATCTATATTAAAATATGTCTATAAATATGTAAAATAAGATACAGCTCATTAATTTTAATAATCCTTATAAAGGTAAATATCCAATGAGAGATAATATGAATTATAATTATTTTTTTTTTTAATAACAGATACAATATTTCATGTAGATCATTATAACTAAATCTAAGTTCATAAAATTATCCAGAATTATCTAAAATAATTATCCATTGACCTTTAAGAAAGTTATTGAAATCGATGAAGTGCATCCTATTTTGCATAATTACCGATTCAGGTCGATTCGTTGAACGGAACACGTTCGTGACGATTGAAATCACTTCTACCGGTTGTTCAAGCATATTCCAAACAAAGTAATCGTCGTGTGCTTGAACGTAACCGAGCAGAAAGGTTGGAGGATCGTTGAACGAAGTGAGAATGAGAGAGACTGAATACGGATGGGCGTGTGTCTTGACGGAAAGATACGTAAAGAAGTAACCTATATCTATATCGTGTGTCTGAGAAGAAGTTATTAAAAGGAGAAGAGAAGGAATAAGAAAAAAAACAAAAAGATCGAACAAAATATAATATAAAGATAAAGGAGGACAAGGTCACAGATAAAATAATGGATCTTGAGCCCAAGGGTCCCTCGTGTACGCGTCGATGGTCTGCAACGAACCGACTCAAGAGAAATCGATTAATCGAACGCCAATTAATAAAGGTCTTATGTGACTGTTCGCACCCTCGACGAATGCACGTACAGGCTCTGTCGAGTACGAGTCGGCGTGATCACGGAAAGCAATCTAAGATGAACCTAACGTTGTTAGATATATTATTTGTAAGACTATCGGAGTACTGTATATTGCGCTAACACGATGGTGATTGCGGAACCGGAAAACGGTGATTAACCCATTGACGACATTAAATATTATTACGTCCTTCGCGACTGACCTCCGATGGTTAATTATATTAATAGCCATATTAAAACACAGCAATATCTGAGCAAGAAATTTAATTTTCTAAATTTTATCCTATTTCTTCAAATATGGAAAATTTTCCTTTAGAAATTTCGAAGCCATATTATATATATACATATATATTTTCACGTTTCATAGGTCTGGGTCACAATTGACCCGACTACGGTGGTTCCAGGGCAGTCAATTTGTATCAAAGGACGATCGTCAGTGAGTTAAGCTGACGAGATTGGAATGTAGCGATCTTGAATGGTGACACGAGTGTCGTTCGTAAATCAATCAAACGGAAGGCATACACGAATCTGCGTATCCGCATGGAAATACGACAGTCTAGGAACGGTTGGGGGACCATCGTGTACGTGTAACTCCGATCAATTCGATTCCGCTTTGACGATCGTGTTAGACACTGTAGGTTATAGATCGATTTAGCGTATGAGAAGACAGTTACTCGAGGCAATGAGAGAACGAGAGAATGACGAGGAGAAATAGGAAGAAAGAGAACGCCCTAAATGAAAAAAAAAAAAACACTTAACTACGATGACTTATTACTACGATATAAGGAGGGAGAGTAGGGTAGCCGATAACGACTAATTCAAAATATATCATTAGGACTAGCCGACGACTGTCTTAGGTTCTCTAGATTTTTCTGTACGGGATCGAGTATTTTTTTCATTTTCTGGTGAACATGGGTGGGGGGGGATGGGGTGATCTACAGAAAACGACATTTTTAACCCGCTTCTTTGTAACTCTCACGCTTGTCCATTCCCTTTTCATTTTTCCTATAGAATTTTCCAATAAGACCTTCAAGATTTTTGTTTCCGTAATAAAACATTAAACATTTTAAAATAGAAAATTTTTTTATTTTATACATCGACCTATATAATCAGCACAGGGATTTTTTACAAAATTTTTATCATTATCATAATCATCATCAAGATCATAAGTAATGTACATTTGAGAAGCAGATTAATAATATTTTAAAGGTAATATTGGAAAATCCTGTAACGCGTTCCCTTTTAATATCGTTTTAACGACAATCCTCATCGTGATGGAGAAATTTTGATAATGAGAGAGAGAGAGATATATATAAAAGTTGTATGTATGCACGCATGAAAGAGAGGAAGCGAGATGTATCATTTCGAAATTCCTTTAACGTTATTACCATTGTGTCGTCATTGCCGTCGAGTTTTATTCCGCCCTTTGTTCGTCCTGCCACTTTTGTATCTCTTTTTTTACCTTTCGTTGGTCTTTTCCCTTTGTATTATGCTCGTCCTTCTCGACTACAGTGATCAAGGGTAGAAAATAGGGTCGGATGAAAAGTACACCGTGAATCCGAGGATCTATTTTACTTTACGATCGAGGAAATTTTGCCTCGAATCAAAAGAGGCGTGGTTTACGCTTCGATAATTCTTTCTATTTCGTCGAATCATCGAAATCGATCCTTTGTTGATGTTCCATTGAAATATTCCGTTTGAACAGCAGTAGTTTATGTAACACGGTTAAAGAAGCATTTCCTTTCTTCCCTTTTTTAGCATAACAATAGAATTCTTTCAGGAATTGAAATTGATTTTATCAAATTTGATCGGTGATTAGATTGGTTTTTATATGGATCGACGGTGTACTTGTCTCGACGTCGAGAAACTCACACGTATCATCGATCATCATCGTTGAACACACGACTGTAGACACATTTATTTAGTTCGAACAACTTCGTACGGTAAGAGACCCTTTAGATATTCACCTAATACCTAAACCTAAACATCCAATCGCTATTTTTATCAAAACAAAAAAAAAAACATGTTAAAAATCTTTAATAGTTATCCATTGTTCACTATTGCTATAATAAAGTTTTGCTTTAATAAACGATGGATTCGTACGTGTTATTCATTCGCTGGTACTTTTAACGAAAATAAATTAAAAAGACAAAGTTACTAAATAATGCTATAATTGCAACTGATTAATCGGGGTAAGTACATTTTATAAATTATTCAAAAACATAAGAGTAATTGCAAATAGGTTATTTGCTAATGATAATTAATAGGTGTAGTAATAGACACTTTGCGTCTAATTATCGCGATAAATAAATCTATCTCGGAATCCCTGGCGACGATTCGTTCGCGTTAACAAGATCGACGATTGCAATAAAAAAGAAGGGTAGCTGGAGAAACGGGTTTGAGATTTACGTTTGAATTGTGTCCGCTATTCTACTCGACCATTGCCCGATCAATAGAGCAAGCTGAACTTCAGGCTATCCCTCGAGTTTGAATAATTACGTGCAACTACCAACTCGCCAAGGGAATTACGCGGCCCGTCTATACATAGGTTGCATTCACTGAACTTACGTAGTCTCGGTCGACTTCTACGTATTCGTTGCGACGGGTCAAGAGTTCTTTTATCGGTGACGTCATAGCGAATACCACCTTTGACGAACAGGGATTATGTCAGTTGCTTTCACTTCCGGAAAAAGTGTCGTTCATGACGTATGTACATCTTGGAACGTTGGAAAGGTCGTGAGAAAGTGCAACTGATACCCTTTGCTAGCCAGATTAAATATAGCGTTTGAAAAAGGAGAACTTAAACCGACTCGTTGATGGCAGTAAATGGAATGTGGGAGTAATCGGGAGATGGAGAACGGATATTCCGGTGTCAGAGGGATTTTATTTTATTGCTGTTATAGTCTGGGATGGCGATCCATGCGCAAACGATAGTGGTGTGTTTCTGCAAAGATAAACAAAGTTTTTTGATATTTTTCAAGGGGATATTGCATTTTTTCTATTTTGTCAATATTTATGGTTTGTTAAAAGGGTGGTTTTTTTGTAAATTTTGCAAAAATACGATTGCTAGGAACTGATACTCGGATAATAATGTAGAAAAATGTTTTACAATGTTAATGGGAGAGCTTCAAAGGTTTATCTTGATGTTCAATTAATTACAAGCAATCATTGTCGATTTTTGTCAACAATCGAGAATTCACGCTGGAACGTACGTGTCTATTGACCGAAGCAATACAATTTTAATGACGCCAGACTTGTTTAATTCTCCGCAGCTTTGTACCTCGTCAAACGAGGTACTAATTAAATGCTCCATTAAGATAAATGACGTTCGCAATGGATTGATCGAAATGCTTTTAATAAAATCCTCGGCGAGCACTTCTCCGAAATTTTATCGGATAATCGCGAACGAAAAATTTAATACGAACGGAAATAAAGCGATTCCGTGGAGGGGTACGATACATTTTATCTTTTTGCATGTCGATAGAGTATGAAAGGTATCTCGACGTTCATCGAACGGTTACGAGCAACGAAGCCTTTCCGTGGAGTTATCAAACGCGTTTAGAAACGCTTCAAACGGGATACAGGCTGGATAATCTGAACACAAGCGGATCTGCAAAGCGCAATTGAGGATAAAGCATGGTATTCATGGCTGCCTTCAATATTTCAGCTAGCGAACGCCCTCAAACTGGTAATTAAAGCTTTGATCTTGATTTAAGTTTTATAATCGTACATCGTGTGCGATGTACGAACGCGAGAGATATAAAAATTGATAAAGAAATATATTCAGTTTCATGACCAGCGTGATAAGCAACGTTACAAAGAAAATAAGAACTATTTTTCTCAACGTAAACGTCGTCGATTTTGCGATTATCAACTGAACTGTACGAAGAAGTCATAAAGAACAGAAGCACCGTTTGGAAGAGCCGTTCTTCAGGAACAACTGTGGTTCATCCCCTAGCAACGTTTAGGTAAGTACCATCAATAAAAAGAAACGCCCAGCTGTAACTGTTGGAACCGGTGTAAGACAAACGGTTCACCGCAAGAACGCTTGCATACGAGAGGGGCAATCAATTCTAGGAGATATTTCGTAACCACACTGGCCACTTAAGCCGGCTTTATCGTATGACGTACGCCCTGTGTCGTTCCGCTCGATGAGAATCGCGAAATCTTATGGGGGGTCTACTAATCTGTAAAATATTGCGAATGTTTCCTTACGGGTATGCTTCGCCGCGTGGAAAACGTACGATGGGTTCAACGAGAGTTTATTTGGGTTAAAGTGGTCCCCCGTATTTTGTTTCCTTTAAACTGGTAAGATACAATGTTTAGATTTTCCCTTCGATATTTTTCAAACGGATATTTGTAATAATGAACTGATATTCAAGAATTCTAGTACCATCAAGGAAAATATGTTCTAAATTTTCATAAATTAACATGTACAGTATCGAGCAAAGTAGGCGCCCCTGAGGAAAGTGGCAATATAGGGGAAGTAGGAATTATCGGAATCTTAATTTTGACGGTATTAATATTAAATATGATTTAGAAACAAGATAATACAATTTTTAGTTATTAATATTGTAAAATTTAGTATAGAAATAAGCAGTATGAATAATAACCTAAATATTAATTCAAATATTAATTCTACCATGTTTGATACTGTACGATTATCAAACAATATTAAAATTGTTATACTGTATAATGCACAAATTATCTACGTAATATTAGTGATACGTGTACCACTAGTTTGAAGACAAAATTGTATCAGTGAGGTTAGAAGCTGAAGTGGGGAAGAGAGCCGGCGAGGGGACCGTTTCGTCATGCGTATGAAGCGCGCATGCTTGTTATCTCCTCCAAGTGTCGCATGAAGTTGGGGCCTACCGGTCGATAGATCGATGATCACTCTGGTCTTTCCGGGCGTCTAGACCAGGGTTGGTGTAGATCACACGAGTTTCGAAAGTGGAATTCCGCATAGCAAAACACGGAACAACTAAAGTCAAACTGACATTCGGGTACGTAGTAAAACGGTTAGTGCTCGCGGTTATTGTTCGCGCCTCAAACTGTGGAATCGGTGATCCAAATATGTCACGGCAATGCTACGCCTCAAGGTCACGATTTAGCATTTGGACTCCAGATTCTGGAGAATTAGAGCCAAGTAAGTTTTTGTATATTTGAAAATCCGAGAAACGAGACCCACTTAACACTAAACCTACCAGGCGTCATAAAACGTATGTGGGAGATGTGCAATCAAGAATTCTATAATTTGTAAGAAATGCAGTAAAAAGAAATAAAATAAACATTATCTATTTTTAAATATAAGAAAATATTTTAAAGCGGCCATTTGACCGTTCACCGTAGGAATAGGTTAGGTTAGGTTGAAGTATCGGTAGGTTTAGTGTTAATCTAAAATGGAGATCTTGCATCTCGTCTATTAACAAATGTCATACGAGCAAAGCCAATGGTGACATGATCAATATCGAGTCTGAACAAGTAGTTTTCAAATCTATAGACATTTCCACGTTACACGCTTGTTACGAGTGTAGTTTAATGGTCTTGCGTCGTTATTCTGAAAAGTGTCATAGTAGCTAGAGCAGAGCCACAACATCGGCAAAAGGTAGAGGAATTTATTCTAGAATTAGACATCCTCGTGTTGTATTTCGAATCTCTTCAAAATCTGTTTTCATTGCATTCGCGTGTCCTTCGCTCACCAGATTATAACTGCGAGTAATTTAACGTCTCTCGTTCAAAATCTATTGCCTCTTTGCGGAGTCGTTCTAGATAATCGGTAGCCGATACGATCAACAAACTTTGTAATATTCCACCGGAAAATTAAGTGACCTGCGCAAGTTGTACCGCCGATTACTCGATCTAATATTTATTATTTGCAGACAGCGTGTCGCGTTTGTGATCGATCTAACACCGACAGAACCGAATATTCGACCGCGGACGGAGTTATAACAGTTATTGAATAAATTGTCTTCTTATCTGATTTCTTTTTCTCTCATCTGTCGCTGATTTTCCTTGCCTTTTCGTGCCTTTGAGATATTCAAAGCTCGATCACGATTCTGAGATCGATCACCTCTTCTTTCGCCAAGATCCTTGCGTCAATCTCCGCAAGGAAATTGACGCGGTCTCTCCCAAGAAGTAAGAAATAAATACAGTTACATCGTATTTATTTTGTTATATTTTCTAACATCTATTGTCTCTTTTATTCAGCACTTGCTAACGATATTACCTGATAATAGAAATCATTTGTTCGTTGTTAAGCACACGTTGGCAGCAGTATAATAGAAACTTTAACGAGATGCTGTTTATTCTTCTATACACTTCTAGCATAAACGTACCAACTATTCTTTCTTATCTTTTCAATTGCTTTTATATAACTCTCTTATTTGACGAACAATACCAACATTGTACTAATAGTATGAATACTGAAAACTGTATTAAAGACATTTTATTAATTATTATGAGTATTTTGAAAAAGAATCCGGCTACCTAAAACGAAGCAATAGAAGATATTTCTATCGTTGTGATAAAAAAAAGACTTAAGTATTCACGATGAATCGCCGTGAATTTCCGTCCAATTACGAATAAACGTTCATAGAAACAGATTTCATCGCGAACCTGGTCATTCGGTTCATTGACGGAACAATTCTTTATTCTCTTTTCAGATATCGCGTTCTGGATTATTCCCGTCCATTAGGAAATCATTCGTGAGCATTTATCTTTCATCTCCGGTTTTAAAATAGAATTCACTGGTTAAAAGTTGATGCTGAAGATGGCCTTTATCAGGCAAGCTTTCAATTAGATAACAGTCCGCCACAGAGTAGATCAGAGAAAACAACGAAACCGAGAATACGTTCGACGAACGTGTCTCGCTAATTAAATTTCCGTTTCCTAGTTGCCCCGTCTCCCCGTTCATCCTCGATTTATCCTGTTTTTCAACTACGTTCATTTCCAGATTGCATTTGTCGCATTTCCGTGAATTGTCCCTTTTGATTTTCCTCTCATCGCTTCTTTCTTACGAAATAGAAATAGAAACTCAATATCGAGTACTTCTCAAAGGATAAATTTTATTTATAATAAATTTCGTGAGTATTTAAAATAAAAAATATCCTTTTTGCGTGTAATGAATAGTACGAGGGAAATGTACCGAATATTTGAATATTCTAATTATCGGGATTATCGAAATAGTTCAATTGTTCTAAATTGAATTCCGCATTCTATTGATATCTGAATATATCGAATATTCAAATTTTTATAAGGCTACTCATCGATCCGCTGTTACGAGCAGTTTCTCTCGCACGTCTTCTTGCATTCTCCACGGTAGTGGGAGGAATTCATAATGCCGTTCTCGAGTAGATCGAGGCGTTAAGTTAACGGCTTCCAATATTCGATCTATAGGGCTATGCTGCACTCAACAGCCTGATAATGCTTTACTTGCATTATGGAAAACAGTTCGTTAAAGCGGTATTATCCGTTCGGTCGGGCTCCACATACATACCTGAAGGTTCAGCTGTGCGTCAAGAATCCCTAAGACACGATACATCATCAAACATCAATCAATATTATAATCAGATCAAACTGTGCCTCACTATGTATCATTTTTTCTTGGTATTCGACATGTTATATATGATCTGGATGAATAAAAAAGACCGTGATTGAATCCTGGAAAATTACGGTTGAAAATCACTGATTGTGAAAACTAAATTGGAGTCCTACACAGTAGAAGGGTTAAGAAGCCATGATATAAGACTATCGGTGAAGCGTGGCTAACATATCTCTCTCTAATCCGGTTCACTGCGAATTTGAGGGGGCATTGTTCCAGTGTGCTGCCTTATCACCGTTCTCCAATTCCCTTTGGAAGTGTCCCTTACACCTCGAAGGAGTACCTAGCCGGCAATTCTCAAGGCCCGATCTTCGGCCGTGTCGTGTACCCACGCCCACCAAGTCGATGGCCATTGTACTTTAAACAAAGCGGCCTGCGTGAATTGTACCAGGATTTAATGAAAGAAGATAGGAGTCACCCTTTTATCCGACGAAATGGCCGCCACTGTCTGCCGTCGCCAACCGATTTCTGAATTATTGAGAACAGACCTTGCTACCATGGAATTTGTTAAACGAACTGTGAACTCGACGTCGTAGGATTTTTCAAGATGGTAACGACAGAATGAAGAGGCAATTTCCTGGCGATTTTATTTGAAAATTCTACAGAGGAGAAATTTTTCTGATTTTCAAAATTAACTTATAACGAACGTTTCCAAGATTCGATGATGCAGCTGATAATTATTAAGGACTCGAAATAACTTCGCAATTAAGCATCAGGGATAATTCGAAGTTTTCTGTGAAAATTCGCACCGTCTCGTGGAAATAGTAACAGGATTTCCTGGTTCACGGGAGGCTGCGAGCGGGAAAAAAAGCATGGCGGGAAACTTAAATGCGACCAGCTACACCATAATTACCCGGCGAACTTTTCACTTGGCGCTCGGACAACTGCAGCCTCGTCGTTTTCCCGCCTCGAAGTTTACGGCCGTTCCTCTCGCGATAGCGGCGCGGTGTCCGTCGCAAAATATCTCCGAAACGCTTCGTGAAAGTATTCCCACGGAAAAGTTGCCGCGTTCCACTGTACAGCCCGTCGAGCTTTAGCTTCTCGCGTTCAGGAAAAAGCTCGTCTCGTCGGAAAGTTTACGCAGTCCTCTGTTCTGCACTGCTCGTCGCCGAAAGGAAGGAGAGGACAAAGAGTTTTCCACGCGGCGATTTGCTGTGACTAGCGCGACGAAAATACTGGCGGGAACGAGGGGTTGGCTTAACGACGCACGGTTCGGGATAAAGGAGAAACGAGTTGAACTTTTTGACGACACTGCTAGCGGCGAGCTGCGAGATAAACGTCGTCCCTTTACGAGTACCGGCCGTCACAGTAGATAGTATCCGGTATGGGTCGGCCGGTCGGACAGTGGTGTAACGACTTGTTTTGTCAGGCGCCGCCTCCAATGGCACAAATCACTCACGCGACAGCCAACTCCGATGGGTCTATCAGAGAAATCGCTGCGACGAGCGTTCGTAGAGTTTTGGGAAGATCGTCAGCCGCGATGGAGCGTGCTGGAAATGGTGGTCATTGAATAAATCTCGGGAACTTTACAGAAGGTGATCCGTGGAAAGTTTTGCCATCATTAATATGTTTAACCTATAAATTGAAATTAACAGAGTAGCAGTTATTCAGAATAATTGCGATGCAATATTAAATTTATAGAAGACTTAGATTTCAATAGCTTTTCACGAAACAATTTAACAAAAGATTGATTTTAATCAGCTTCCGGATGACGTGATTGCACGTCATCCGTCTCTTCCTGTGAAATTTAATGATGTTCATCAGCATGAATGCGAGCGACCATTGTATTATTATTTCATTTAAACCGCCGCTAATCAAAATTCGTTTATTCGCTAAACGCAAAATCAGCTTAAAACGGTTTTATCGGTCCCATGGCTCCGGTGCCTGCATGCTACCGCGTTGTAACAAGCTGCGGGGGTGCCTTTAATTCTCAATGCAATTAGCTTTTAATTTTCTATATATTTCCAGATATAATTAACATCGTCGCGACACGGCAGCGTGGCATACATCATAGGAAACGCGCATTTACAGCCTTATAAAACAGCCCCGTGACGTTAATTAACATCCGTAAACCACACACTGTCGTTCTATTGTGGTTGACATGAAAAACTAACGTTTCCATCGCGAAGACTTCGAGCGGACATGTACGAAGGGTTAATCGTCCGAGTTGGGTGAAATTTCTCGAGCAGCCATGTTTCCGCGAGAAAGAAAGCAGACCAGGGAAAACGGACAGGAACCGGATGCCACGACGAAGCGACGAAGTTTCGGACTTTCGCAGGGAACGTTCGCTGATCTATCGTTACTTTAAACCAAAGAGAAAGCCGCGGCGATCCCGTGGAACGCGCCGCCACCAAACGAGGGAAATCGAACTTTTCCAATTGATTCGACTTAAACTGACGAAGGGAACCACCATCGGTGGAGATCGTTCGGTTTGCGCACCTACCCACCCGCTCCTTTTTCTACTTCCCCCTTGCGTCTCGAACTTCCACTCTTTGCCTCTCGTCGATCGACTTCATCGTTCGACTTCCCATCGATCTCTTCCCTCG